GTGAGCCTGAGCCAGGCTATGATCCGGCTTGTATCTATTATCCAATTACATTTCTTAGAGTTGAGGTTCCTCGATAGTTCTCCGCTGATCCAGTGTCATACTTATTCGCACAGTGGACAGTTTCATTTAATTTGACTATGATAACATCGATTGATAACGACAACAATCTGACTGTCACAATGAATCAGCTGAATGGATCGAGTACGACAACAAACAGCAACTGATTGATGAACTCATCAAAATGACCTGTCTATGCCAGGGTTTCTCAACCGATGGTGCTCGCACCCCTTCAGGGTGCGAGATAACATTTCGTTAAAGTAAGCCAGGGCGATTTTCAACGCATACATGTGTTTAAAGAATGCAAAGGTGGACTTCAACGTATGTATTTTTAAAAAAAGCTACAACATACTCAAATAGTGTACATTCATCTACACTACAGACACTGGCTGTAGTGGATATTGTGAGGGGTGCGAGGCGAGAACATCCTAAAATTTTCCAAAGAGTGCAGACGAGAAAGAAGGGTAAAGGCACCAGTCCATATACGAGAAAGAAGGGTAAAGGCAACAAATGAATCTTTTGATGTACAGTCATCGTTATTACCATCATCAACGGCACTATGATCGCATCAATTTTCTACATTTCCTAACACCTCACACATTTCGATTGCAATCGCAGATTCAGTTTATGGGTTTATCAAATTCTCGCGCGTTCTCCACTTCAAACTTTCCATTGAAATACTATTAAAAACCAATGAATCTGATTTGGTTAATTTTTATTGAACTAACAACAAAAAAGAAAGATCCATTTAATATGTAAACTGCATTCGCCATTGTTCTATGTGATAACGTTTTCTAAACTACAACTAACAACGATTTAATGCATTAAAAAATTTTTTTAAAGACTACAAGGCAATATTCACAACAAATGAGATAATGTTCACAAAATTAATCAACATGAGCAGTAAAATGAACAAACAACGAAAGATATACAAAAACAATTCAATAATATGTATTTTAAAAGTGACAAGTTGAGATCACAGTCTCAGATAGATCATTTGATCATTAGATACTGAGCATAATAATAATTATCGAGATACGTCTATTCGCGTTGCGTTTCAGCGCTGTTTGATGATGCGTTTGTTGCGTCTTGCAGGTGATATTTCCATTGTGCACATTCACTTCCATTGATTCTACAGAATGCTTCCAATAATTTCTGAAACTCACAAAACTATTGGACGATTTCAAAAATTTCATTTGGATGGTTCAGAATGGAAATCACTTTGTAAAATTCATTCGAACTGTATTTCAGTGGTACAAGAAAGCGTTTCATTTCGTCTTTTAAAAGTTCATGCCTTTCCGCTCCCAATCAAGTGTTTAATTTCCACTTAATTAATTCATCGCAAATCAATCTTCACAAGCAAATCGAAGAACAACCTTTATCTATTATGTTTCCTGAATGCTGAAAAGCTCAGCGTTTTAAATGCAGATTAGAGTACAGTTTTCAATGACCAAAACATGAAACCCGTATTCTTCTGATTTAGTGGGCCCTTTCAATGAACCGAATTCCCTTTCATTCCATTCCCCTCTACATTGATCAGAAATGACTGTATCTCAGTTCAACACAGATGCATTTCAATTCCCTCGATCCCATATGATCTCATTGAATTGAAAACAAAAACAAGTTGTGGTCATTTACTGCTGACCAGTTGTTTTACAGTTCGAATGATTACTCGGGTTGGTTTATGATATTGTTTCAGAATATAATCTATTGATGATCTGTTAAACTTTTTATCAATTTCCCCCTGGTAAATTTGACTTGGAATTCCATTTTATCCGATGTCCTTCTGAGTACCGTTTCTTTTCTACATCCTTATTTATAAATAACTGTTGGAGAGAGGGAAATACAATATGTTTAAGTAATTTAATGAGTAATATTTGAAAAATAAACGAATAGAAAAGCGGTGAGATAGTTACCATTCGATCGATAGTGGCCTTAGCACGTGGTCCCCACGAGTAAAAGTTTGCCACAGTCGAATCTTGTAATACTTCTGACTCGAAAGCAATCCATCCTTCAACATCAATCATCACAATGTTTTAATCACTTATACTTATTCTCTGAGGTGGTCACACAACTAATTGGAATCACTGCAAAATAAAAGTGGACGGAGCAATGCGCTAAATCTAGAAACTTGCAGTAATGATTCCACTAATTCAGACAGTTAATGTTGGCATTCCAGCAAAAAGAGAGTCGACGTATTCAGTTAAATAGATAAACAAATCTGGCGATTCGATTATTGAGAACCTTTCCAAATAAACTCTGCCAGATGATTGGGTGCAATGAGACTTTGTACAGGACCAATGCTCTCGGATATTGCAGGTTCAAATTGATTCTGTAAACATTCCATTGATTAACTTAAATGAGAAACAATTCATATGAAGCAACATCTGCAAACTTATCAAATTAT